CTGTGGGAAATTGTCCCGTAGTGCCCAGGGATGTGCAGGTTAGGGTGGATTGGCCGTGGGAAATTGTCCCATAGTGTCCAGGGATGTGCAGGTTACGGTGTGTTGGCCGTGGGAAATTGTCCCATAGTGTCCAGGGATGTGCAGGTTAGGGTGGGTTGGCCATGGGAAATTGTCCCGTAGTGCCCAGGGATGTGCAGGTTAGGGTGGGATTGGCTGTGGGAAATTGTCCCGCAGTGCCCAGGGATGTGCAGGTTAGGGTGGGTTGGCCGTGGGAAATTGTCCCATAGTGTGTCCAGGGATGTGCAAGTTAGGGTGGGTTGGCAGTGCTAAATTGTCCTGTAGTGCCCAGGGATATGCAGGTTAGGGTGGGATTGGCCATGGGAAATGCAGGTTTAGAGGCATGGATTGGATCTGGGTGCAATGGTCTTCAGAGGGACGGTGTTGACGCGATGGGCTGGATGTCCTGCTTCCACACCGTAGGGATTCTATGTCTGAGAACACACCGAGACTGGCGGCACAGTGGCTCAGTGGTTAGCACTGCTGCCTCACAGCACCAGGGACCCACGTTTGCTCCCACCCTTGGGCGATGGTCTGTGTGGAATTTGCACATTCTCCCCGTGTCTGTGTGGGTTTCCTCCGGGTGCTCCGGTTTCCTCCCACAGTCCAAAGATGAGCAGGTTAGGTGAATTGGCCGTGCTAAATTGCCTGTAGTGTTCAGGGATGTGTAACTTCAGTGGGTTATGGGGAATAGGTCCGGGTGGGATGCTCCGAGAGTCGGTGTGGACTTGTTGGGCCGAAGGGCCTGTTGCCGCACTGTAGGGATTCTTAAAAAAAAAATGTACCAGTCCGTTCACATCTTCATCTTGGTTTATCAATGAGCGGATCTCCTCACGATCCCGGTTAAAGATGGCTTGGACCAGTGGTGTCTACAGCAGGACAACAATAACACACAGTTAATCACCCCGGGCCCCATTCAAAGTCACATCTGCACATGTAACTTCACCCAGCACCTCCTCAAAACCCTCCCTCCCTCCACAGTAGCAATGGGCAGGTCAGTCGCCAGGGGCACAATGTGCCCCCTTAGAAAGCTTCAGACCACCCAACCCTCCTCCAGCCCCCTACACCCCCTCCCTATCTCCGTCACCCCCTCCAATTCCAGCCTGTGGTACGTCAT